TGTTTTTTACTTTAATTTGTATTTCTTTGGCCACAGTGTTTTAATGTAACGTTAATATAGTTTTACATGGTCCATATACCACTTACTAATTTTGTAATCTGTTCTTTTCCCACATACAATTATATCACACACATTTCTTCACAATATCAACAAATCCATAAAGACATAATTTTAATGGCTGCAATGTGTCATCACAAAAATTAAGTGGAATATACCAGTTTCTATTAAAACTATGATGTCATTAATTTTAAGACACACTATTTATGTACTACTAAAAAAATGCTGCCAAGTAAACTATAACATGCCACTGGTTTTTAAAACACATCCCTATATTAGAGAGGTTAAACTGTGAAAAGATATTATTTTAGAATTGATGAAAGATATAGATGATGAATACATGCATGCTTTATCTCTGTGTGGGAAAGGGCTTTCTAAGCTTAAAGATAAAAGAAAGTATCCATGGCTTTGACTTCATCAAAATTAAAAACTTCCTTATTTCTTTTTTTTAAAGTTTATTTATTTTTGAGAGAATCCCAAGCAGTCTCCGCACTGTAAATGCACAGCCCACCTAGGGCTCCATCTGATCTGATGAAGTATAAGATCAAGACCTGAACTGAAATCAAGAGTCAGATGCTTAACTGACTGAGCCACCCAGGTGCCCCAAAACTTCCTTATTTCTTTTTTTTTTTTTTAATTTATTTAAAAAAAAAATTTTTTTTTTCAACGTTTATTTATTTTTGGGACAGAGAGAGACAGAGCATGAACGGGGGAGGGGCAGAGAGAGAGGGAGACACAGAATCGGAAACAGGCTCCAGGTTCTGAGCCATCAGCCCAGAGCCCGACGCGGGGCTCGAACTCACGGACCGCGAGATCGTGACCTGGCTGAAGTCGGACGCTTAACGACTGCGCCACCCAGGCGCCCCCCTTATTTCTTATTAAAACTATAACAAGCAAAAGGTAAGTGAACAGAAAGATATTTGGGGCAGCTGTGACCAAGGGTTAATAGCCTTAAAAAGACCACAAGATCACTGGAGAAAGCAATCAAACTGCCAATTTACGTAAGAGGGAATTGGCTATAAATGTATAAAGTTTATTCTACCTCATTAGTAATCAAACAGGTGCAAATTAGAGATATGGTTTTTCTCAGTGTTACATCACCAAAGATGAGTGGAAAGGAAATTTTCAGTGCCAGCAAAACAAGGGATATGAAACCCTCACATACCACAGAGAGGATTTGTCAAGTGCTATAGCCTTTATTAGGGGCCTTCAAAAGACTCAGATCCTTTCATTAAATAATTTTACTTCTAGAAATTTACCCTACAGAAATGATCAAGTCTTTCTGTGATAATGATACATTACATTGATTTTTTTAAAGGATTTTTAAGTACCTCTACACCTTATGTGGGGCTCAAACCCACAATGCCAAGATCAAAAGTTGCATGCTCCACTGACTAAGCCATCCAGGCACCCACATTCTTATTATGGGAGAAAATCACAGGAAACTGTAGGAAAAAAACTAGGAAAAATAAACATCTTAGAAGTGTGGCCATATTGTTAAAAGGTAGAAACATGATTTTTTTAAATGCACTACCAAGGAGATCAGGGGTTTTCCCTCATCTGATCATAAACGAGTGTTCTTTGGTCATTTAATAAGACCTGAACTCTCAAACGCTGTAACCTATTAAGACGACACCTCCGGATGTTAATTATACCTTAATTAAAACAAAAAATTATAAGAAACCTCTGGGAAGTGTCTTTGTGATATCCTGGAGAGAGCATCCAAAAGCAAAAAAAATGGGGGCGCCTGGGTGGCTCAGTCGGTTAAGCGTCCGACTTCAGCTCAGGTCATGATCTCACACTCTGTGAGTTTGAGCCCCGCGTCAGGCTCTGTGCTGACAGCTCAGAGCCTGGAGCCTGCTTCAGATTCTGTGTCTCCCTTTCTCTCTGCCCCTCCCCTGCTCATGCTCTCTTTCTATCTCAAAAATAAGTAAAACATTTTAAAAAATCTCAAAAGCAAAAAAAAAGTTTTCCTTACTTGTGAACCACCCAGAAATAGACCTCCTGTCTGGAAGATTTGGGAGTCCCACGTCTTGGTGACTTCAGCCAAAATGCCATTTCCTCTAGCTCTGTTTTCATTTGAGGGCAGGCAGCATTATTCACCCTGCGTGTTCTGTGTCCCTCTCACTCCTAGCCATGGAATTTTCCTTTACCAACAGCTTGTATTGCTCCCTGTTGAAGATCTGCTCATGCCTTCCCCTCGCACTTGGAACACCCTTGCCAAGACCTAAATGGCCCGTCAGGATCACCCTACCTCTGGGATCCTATCTTGGATCATTGTCCCCCTTTACTCCATTGATGAATCTCTAGTTTTCTCAAACCTGTCAAAACTGGATGCGGCTTCCAGATTATTACACTTGGGCAGGAACAAACTTTCGCCCAAGGATTTCGCCCAAATCCTTTCATGGTGGCATTCAGAGAGGCCTTCACTAACTGTCCAACACTACCTTATTGCTAACTTGTTTATGGCCTGCGTCCGTAGGTCTGAGGTGGAGAGGACAGGCAGGTAAGTTCCCTGCAGTGCTGGTGGGGACCAGGAACACCACTCATCTTGTGCCATATGCTCACATGGGGTGACCCGGCGTCTCCACCGGGGAAAGGGACTTAATAGTACCCACTTATCCTTGGAAGAATTAAGCAGGAACCTGCTCCGGAGAGCCGAGTCCGGCGCTGATGAAGTGCAGTGGGACACGGCTTCCGGCCACCCTTTCTCGTGGCAGCGCCCCGCGGCGTTCAGTACCTGCCTACTGGGCGCCGCAGGGGGGGGGGGGGG